AGGCATACTAAAATATACATTATGGGAATCTCAGAAGGAGAAGACAGAGAGACCCGAAGAGAATGTTTGAATAAAGAATGGCCCCAAACTTCTTGAATATGTTGAAAGACATGAATATGCACATTCAAGTTGCTCAATGAACTCCAAGCACAATACTCAGAGATTCACAGTGAAACACGTTATCATCAAATTGTCAAAATCCATACACAAAGGGAATCTTGAAAGCAGTAACAGAGAAGTGACTCATAGCATAAAAGGAACCCTCAGTAAAATTCACCACTCATTTCTCCTCAACAACCACAGAGGGTAGAAGGCAGGATGGCACATTCAAAGTTCTGAAAGAAAAATAATGTAATCAGCAGGGCATGGTGGCTCATGCCTGTAATCCCAGCACTTTGGGAGGCCAATGTGGGCAGATCACATGAGCCCAGGAATTCAAGACCAGCCTGGGCAATATGGCAAAACCCTGTCTCTACTAAAAATACAAAAAAAAAAAAAAAAAAAATTAGTTGGGTGTGATGGTGCACACCTGTAGTCCCAGCTATTCAGCAAACTGAGGCGGGAGGATCACCTGAGCCTGGGATGTCCAGGCTGCAGTGAGCTGAGATTGCGCCACTGCATTCCAGCCTGGGTGATGGGAGTGAGATCCTTTCTTGAAAAAAAAAAAAAGAAAAATACTGGCAAGCAAGAGTTATCTGACAAAATTATCTTTCCAGAATAAAAGAGAAATAGAACATTTTCAGATAAACAAACGCTGAGAGACCCGCCTTATGAGAAATGGCAAAGAGAGCCCTTCAGGCTGAAATGAAGGGACATTTGACAGTCACTTGAAGACATAAGAAAAAAAAAATGCTGGCAAAGGTAACTACTGGTTCTAAAAGTCTTATTGTACTTTAGGTTTCATCTATAACTTCTACCTTTTAAAAATATTATTTAAAAGGCAAATGCATGAAATAATAATTACACATCTGTTAATGGTCTTACAATGTATAAGGATAGATTCTGTAATAACAACAATATAAAGGGAAGGGAATAGAGATATATATGTGCAGAGTGTTTGTATACTATTGAAACTAAGTTGATACCATGCAAACTAGGTTGTTACAAATTTAAGATAACTAGATGTTTAAGTTTAAACAAATTTTTTTTTTTTTGAGACGGAGTCTCGCTCTGTTGCCCAGGCTGGAGTGCAGTGGCCGGATCTC